TCTTGGACACGGCGGGGCGGCCCTGCGGTTCTGCGAGCGCGGCGGGCGGCCCGGGGGTGGGGAGGCCGGGGCGGGTTCCAGCCCTCCCTCCGTCGGGGGCGCCCTGCGGGCAGCGCTTGCACGAGGTGCCGCTGTCGCCGGGCTGTTTCAGCTCGCATGGAGCCGTGGACATCGGCACGAGTCCGAGTCGCGCTTTCAGCACTGCGGACAGTTACCGGCGCCCGGCCGCGTTACCAGCCCTTGCCCGGGGTTACGGTGCAAGCGCCGCTGCGGGCGCCCTGTCGGAGGAGCCCTCACCTCTCGAGGCGCGGGACATTAGCCAGGCTCAGGTGGGTTTTGCTCTGCAGCGACGACACTTGTCGTCTTTAATGAAGGAGCGACGTGGCATCGTTTATGCGCAACGGCAGCAGGCGGCGAGGCGGCCCCGGTGCTGCGGGGAGCGCCGGCTCCGCAGCGGGTGCCGGGGCCGCCGGGCGAGGGGAGCGCTCGGAGGGGCAGGCGGGAAGGCCCGGGCTGCGCCAGGGAGAGCCCGGAGCTGGCAGCGCTGGGCACAGGGGGAGCAGGGGCTGCCCCGGTCCTCTCCTGCAAAGCGGCAACAGGTCACCCCAATAGGACAAGGAAAGACGATTTCCCTCCGCGGCCTTACCGTGAGCGAGTCTGCACGGGGCCCCGTGGGCTGGGAGGGTCCAGGTGATTCGGGAAGGAAGCAGAGGCAGAGGTGCCTCCTTCGGTGCCTGGCAGCCAGGCTGCAGGATGCAGCGTCTGTCGCTGGAAGAGCTTCTCCAGGGATGGAGAGCTGGAGTGCTGGGCTTCTGCTGACCCCTGCCGTTTGCAATCCGTACTCTTAGATAGTCGGGGGCGAAATGCTTATTAAATTGACACAAGATTTTCTAGAAATACACAAAGCAGGCAGGAATCCATCCGTTTGAATGGCTCTGAATTCAGTCATAGCCCGTGTTTTGTCTTGATTAGCTTATTTCTGTTCCCTGTAGCACAAGAACCCCACATCCCAAACCAAGGGACAGGCTAATTTCAAGAGAGGCCTCTGAGGACTCTTAAATGCAGCTGTTTTGTTAAAGTGCTTCTGACTTACCTGAGGAATACTGGCAGCAACGAGGCTTCTTCCTTAATGCTGAATCGGGACCTAGTGTGCCACCGCACTGGGTACATTCATGACCACTATATTCACCCATGATCAAATCAACAAATATCAATTCTTACTTCAAATATAAATCTATCTGTATAAGGATAAATCATGTACTGGTTGAAAATCAACCAATTCCTTCTAAAATTCTTCAAAAATGCATCTTATTTGAGCTATTTTGTTTAAGATGAAGTCATTTTTACGAAGCTGAAAGAATAATTTACAGGAGCAATTTATGAGAACAACGAGAGTTTTGAATTTATCCCATTTTAGGGTAATGGGAAGTCTCCGCGGTAACATTTTATGTCCGGGGCCAGTGGCAGTTAGTCCGCGATTGATCGCTGTGCCCTGGGCTCCGCAGCCCGCGCCCCGGGCCGCGCTAACGCGTCGCAGCGTGTGCGCGTTTTGTGGTGGGTTTAGCGGAAACATCCGCGGACAAACCAGGAGACTCGGGGCCCGTCCCCGCGGGGCTCGGGCAACGCTGCCCCAAGTGCATCAGCAACCAGGGATCCC